AAACAAAAACTTTGTCTTCAAAATAAGGTTGCGTCTTATACACCGGTACTCTTCCTCTTTAATTGGACACTCAACGTTTCGCTTTATAACTACTTCGGGAGAGTTCTACTAAAACACAAGCTTCAATTGGAAATTTCAATTTTAAATAGTAAATTAAACCAATTGAAGCTTTTTTACTGTTAGTTACGGCTTCTGTTTTAGTGGAACACTCCCGAGGAAGCTATAAAGCGAAATGTTGAGGTGCAATTAAAGAATAAAAAAAAATTGTGTTATAAGGTCGTTTATTACTAGTATTAACATGCCATTTATACTCCAATATGCGCTATCGAAATTCAATATTGATCATTAATAATATAGTTTTTGTATCATAACTGTCAAATAGAACAAATAGTATACTATTAGAACAATTATGAAACAGCAGTAGTATTCTAAACATTGTTAAAATCACGTTTAGAAAGTGTCAAGCAACAGAACACCTAAAGCAGTTTAATAAGTCAACGTATATTTTCACATTAAACATCATTTGTACATTAGCCCTAATGAAGCTGCACCAGCAAAATGTTGACTGAATTATATGTTTTTTTATATTATTACCTGAAGAGTAAAGGCCGTTATTTTTTCTAACTTTTTGCCAAAATGTCTAAATTTCTCCAATATACATAAAAATTCTGAAGAAATGTTAGTTTCATATCATGCTAATTCTTAAATAATATTTTGTTACAACACAATTTTTAATAATATAATGTGTATCACTAATCTAATGTTATATCAAATACCTTTTAAACTCGTATTAAACGTGAGATTATAAATAAAATGAATTTACGCTTTTTTTACAAGTTACTTGAAATTCATTTGGCACAAGCCTTTGACTCCAGTGAACTATAAGAATTAAGTATAATAGTAGCATCTTAACCATTGATTTTGGAGAATTCTGCTGTTCTAAGATGCATTCTGATATATTTCCTTATAATATCTATCTTTTACAAAAATTGTTATGAAGCGAACGCCTTTTTTAAGCTGGTGAACCATAAATATAATTAAATTACTTGTCGTCAGACATTAGACCGGCATTCTGTATCTAGTCCTTTACGGATATTCAAGAATTAGAAGAGTGTATGATAATTAGAAAACTTAGTGTTTTGAATGTAATTTTTTTCAATAAACACTAGATGACATTACTTTTCATCTTTTAGATCTGCTTCAGAATGACAGCAGTCTAGTTAGGCCTACATTAATGAAAATTGTTCCTAATGAAGACTAGTACTAGAGTCGAAAGCTTACACTGAATAGACCTTCCACAAGAGAACGCTTTTAGAATTGATCAACTAGAAATATCCAGAAATCAGTGTAATTTCATGATTGTAAAAAATGACAAACATAAGTGTGTTTTTTACGATACATCTAACTAGTTTTACACAAGAAAAATGACATTTGCACTCGCCTATTCAGAACTCCATCAATATGTTGTTACAATCCACCACTAGAAGGAGAAAGATTAAGTGTCTTAGAATTATTTTTATTTTGTTTTCATTTTCGTTGTTAAGCACAAATCTACACAATAAGCTATCTGTTCTCTGCCAACCGCGGGTATAGAAATACAATATTTAGCGCTATAAGCCCACAAACGCACCGCTGAGCTGAGGAGGACAGCATTTTTTCTGCAGTTTTCTCCCACCCACCATATTTTCCAGATATGGCATCATCATCAGATTAACATCTTTTTCGTTCTCTGCAACACCATCTTAATGGGAAAACGTATGCAACTGTGGAACGTGTTAAAGAGGACATCGACAAAGCCAAGTGATTTCTTTAATCAGCGCATTAACAACCTGATTGTAAGATGGAAAAGCATCATCGATAAGAATGGAGACTATTTCATTTAATAAATGTTTTGATATATAAGTTTTTCGGGTTTTTCCCATCTGAAAAAAAAAGCGACATTAGTTTCTAGACGACCTAATATATATATATATATCATTTAGCCACGAAAGCGCACATGTAACGGAAGTACTTATCAACCCCCTATTCTTGTTTTCACTCTACAAAGATAATTAATTTTCTTAAACAGCTACAGAATGGGGTACCTGCACTGTGGTCGTGGGAGGGATCGAACTTTAGAGTCATAAGTCTTAAATATTGCCACTGAGTCAATGGAAGGCAAAATTATACCTGGATAGGTGTAAGAAAATTGAAGAGTTCAGTTAATCTGCCTTACATAAACTTGAACTTTGCAGGTCGATATTTTGTGAGAATGATAGTTCAACAATGCCTCTTTTGCTTGGCATGGACTGGTGGTTAGGGAAAACGACTCCCAACCAGCGGGTCGCGGGATCGAAACCTGGTCATGAACAGTCTCACTGTTTCAGCCGTAGGAGGCATTATAATGTGATGGTTAATCTAACTATTCCTTGATAAATGAGTAGGTCAAGAATTGGCCGTGGGTGCTGCCGGCAAGTTAATTTTCCTCTGGTCAACATCTCAAAATTATATCCGGCGGCAGATAGCATTAGTAACATAAATAAGAAAAAAACAACTCGCCAATGCCTCATCTACGGCTTGTGTGTCTCTTGTTATTACATCACACTTCATTTCGAAGATACTCCGATTTTCAACTTCTTCGTAAGCTCTGGGATAACGAAAGACAAAAGTATTCTTTGATGTTGATCCAATGACCTGATTTTATCATACCTAATCAGTTGTTTTAAGGACATCAATCAACATTTCTAAGGGATTTGGTTTCATAACGTTTATGATTTGTTTGTTTTTGAATTTCGCGCAAAGCTATCTACGTTACCCGTCTCTTAGCAGTGATAGATTAGAAGGAAGGAAGCTAGTCAACACCGCCCACCGCCAACTCTTCGGTTATTCTTTTTCTAACGAAAAGTTGGATTGACCGTCACATTATAAAGCCTCCACGGCTGAAAGGGCAAGCATGTTTGATGACAGGGATGGGAACACGCGACCGGCAGATTGCGAGTCAAAAGCCCTAACCATCAGGCCATGCCAGGCCTTTTTTGATTAAAAAATAAGATAAGTTGATTTAAACTCCTTAAATCTGTGAATAAGCCGGATGATTATGTTTAATTTTATATGTGATGACCACGATGAAGCTTCCCGAGGAAGCAAAGTAACGAATTTCTACGACATTATCTTATATTATCTGTTCGAATATGAGTGGTGGTTTCACTGATTCTGTGTAGCACATACACATCTGGTGCAGTCTGTAGTTGTTGAACATAAACTAAATTAAAGCTGAGTTTAAGTTTCCGGTCACGTTTTATTCAAATAGCTTGAGTAAAATGTGTGTGGGTAAATATCGATAAAAAAAAAGAGATTTCATTTTTTAAATTATTCCTGCTGATTGTTTGGAATGTGCCGTCTGCCTGCTTAAATAAACAAACATAAAACGAAAACTTACGAAGGTATAAGTGGACGTGTAGGCTTGTATGAAGTGTGCTGAACAGCTAAGAAACATATTGCGTCAATTGTTCTAGTTTTAATGTATTAGAACAGAATTTATATACTTAATTGTTACTGTTCTTTGATATTCAAACATGCGATAAAATGAAGCCTATGACACAAATTATCCAATAAGCTTTTAAACCTACTTATTAACCATGGCCTGACGTTAGTCGCTGAAACGATGAATCTTAAGATCGAATTGATCCTGAACTCATGGAAGAAAATATATAGCAAAATATGTCTGTTAGTGTCTGTGAATAGCGTATACTTCAAGCTGTAAGATATGTCTATTAATGTCTGTGAATAGCATGCATTTCGAGTAGCAAGAGATGTCTGTTAGTGCTTGTGAATAGCATGCATTTCGAGCAGCAAGAGATGTCTGTTAGTGTTTGTGAATAGCATGC